AGCCCCCGTCAGGTGGGTGGACCCTGTGTCCGAGGTATTAGCCCCCGTCAGGTGGGTGGAGCCCGTGTCCGAGGCACAAGCCACCGTCAGGTGGGTGGAGCCCGTGTCTGAGGCACGAGCCACCGTCAGGTGGGTGGAGCCGTGTCTGAGGCACGAGCCCCCGTCAGGTGGGTGGAGCCGTGTCTGAGGCACGAGCCCCCGTCAGGTGGGTGGAGCCCATGTCCGAGGCATGAGCCCCCTGGGGTTCTCTGGGGTCTGTGGTGGCTGCCTTGGCTACCCGGGCCAGGGGTTCGCTCAGGGTAGGAGGAAGCCTAACTCAGCTCAGGGGGCCTGTGCCCGTGCCGTCTTCATAGAATCAAAAGACACGTGCGTTTCAGTTTCTGGGATGGAAACCTGCCCTCACACACACGGCAGAGGGACACATGGGGCGTTAGGCCGCGGCACACAGTCCACGCCTGGCAGTGCACGCCTCCCGCAACTCCGGGCCCTCTCAGGAGCTGCCTGTCGCTAAGGGACACACGTGAACTGGAAGTAAAATCAAACAATGGCCTGCTCCTTCCACCAAAACACCAAGCACCTGGAGAAAACAGGAAAGAAAGGCAGGAGGCAGCAACACACGTCATGCCCTGGGGTGGGTTCTGGGTCGGAGCTGATCCCTGAGGTCCAGACGTGCAGAGGGGAGTGGAGAACCCTGTAATGCGCCCTCAATAGGAGGTGCTGCCGAGGGCCCAGAGCAAGACCCGAAGTGCAGCCGTGGGGCAGGGCCCGCTGTGCGCATTCTGGGCTCCCGCACCAGCTGCTGATACCCTCTCCTCCCGGGGTCAGACCCCGCGAGCGGCTGGCGGCTCAGGGTCCCCTTTTCACCCGGGGTCAGACCCCGCGAGCAGCTGGCGGCTCAGGGTCCCCCTTTCACCCGGGGTCAGACCCCACGAGCTGCTGGTGGCTCAGTGTCCCGCTTTCACTAGCGTTCCCTGTCTTGTTTTGAGGTGCCAGCCGTCGTGAGTCCCTGCTCAGTGTGATCCCTGCTGCCTCTCCTCACCTGCCGTTTCTCACCTGCCGCGAGGCAGAAACTCATCAGCAGGCGGGTGCCGGGCGCAGCCGAGGACCAGCACACACGGCCTCTGTGCCTTTCCACTCAGAGGCAGCATGTGTTTTTGTGGCTCTCAGAGATGTGGAAGTCTGAAGGCGCAGCGTCACCTTACCATGCCTCGTAGGAGCTGGACTGCCGCAGGACTTTCAACGGGATCCTTAGTTCTCCCAGGAATTCATCTCCAAACTTCAGGTTACTGGCATTCCAGAGGTCAACTCTGAAAAACGGCATCGGTACAGCTCTAGCTGACAGCGGGCAGCCCAGGTGAAGCAGAGATTACGGGCCATGCTTTGTTTCCCTAGGAGCAGGGGGAGCCTGCAGCGCCTCCCAGAGTCTCCATCAAGGCTCAGCCCACGGGGCACGTTTAAAACACATCAGACCAGCCTGTGGTTTTGGAATAAAGATGAGTGTCTCCCAGTGGTAATGGGCAGGCAGAGGAAGGCAGAAGGCTCTTAGATAGGAAGGAGCCTGGGCGTCGCTCCGTGCACCCGGGAGCTACATGACCCCAGGCTCTGCGCCAGGAGGGAGCCGGGCATCGCTGCGTGCACCCAGGAGCTATGCGGCTGCTGCTGCTCTCAGCTCCAGCACCATCTGTCCCCTTTGCCCACAACAGGCCCAATGTCAGCAGCCTGTGCACGGCGGGCAAGTGAGACCCTCAGGGGCCTGTGGCGTGTGCCTCTCACGCCGTCCCAGCGTATGGCCCAGCAGCCTCCATCTGCAGGGCTCAATGCAGGGGATGATGAAGAACTTGGGCTGTAGAGAGGAGGGTGCCCATGGAGGATGGGCTGGCTGATTCAACAGCCAGGGGCTCTCTGCTTTCGTCACATGAAAATGTGCCTCAAAACAAAACTGGGTGCTTGCGAATGCCCTGCCCCTGAATATAGAACCCTGTGTCCACAGATCGCTTATGACCTGGGGCATGAAGTGGATTCAGGGGCCACGCACATCACAGCAGGGGGAGAACCGTGGCCACAGCATGGTCCACGAATCTCCCTGAGTAGCCTGGGCCCAGCATCGTGAAGCTTCTGCTAATGTCTAACACGGCAGCGGCTTCCACTAATGCTCTGTCCTGGTGTGGGACAGTACGTGTCCCCTCAGACCTGGGGCTGTGAAATTCTGACAGACACACAGCATCCCCGGCTGCAACAAGTCTACGGGACTGTACCCCAGTCCCTCATGGCCAGGACCCGCCCGCGCGCCTGAAACACCCGAAGTCATATGTGGCCAGCTCTACCCACGGGCCTGAAACCCCAGTTACACGTGCCCGGCCCTACCCAGGCGGCTAAAACTCAGCAGGTCTAACCACACTGTGGCCATCAGGGGCATCCCCCTGGGGGGAGAAGATCCCGGAAGGCCGGTGATTCTGTTGCCCTTGCGAATCCTGCAGAGGCACTGGCGTCTGGGGCCGGGGAGGGCTGACAGGCTGCACGAGAACCCACAGCGCGCTCCTTTCAGAAGGAACAGAGGGGACCGCTGATCTGTGCAGGGACTTTGGAAATGTGACAAGTGGCCAGGCAGGCGCATCTGCCTTTAAAAAAGGAAATATTTAAAACACGTTTTGTGTGCTTTAAAAAAATTCAGTAACTAGGACTTCACTCCTGAATTCAAAGCTTGGTGTAAAAAGGAACCAACGATGATGCTTCCTTCTCTTGAAAAAGGGGCTGGTGGTGGGGCTGGCATGAGTCCTGGGGAGGCTTCCTCGATGCCCGGCCCAGGGTCTCAGGCCCTGGCTCAGTACCGTGAAGCCTGGAAATGAAGGTTTAGGCCAAGACATTTAAAAATGGGACTCAAACAGAGACAGTTGGTGGAGACAACCCTGCTTTAGGACTTCCACGTCAGGGACACGCCTACAGTTCAGGACCCTGACCCCTCAGGAGGTGGATCTGACCGACCACGTCAGGGACATTCTATGGTTCAGGATGGGGACAACTAGGGGAGGCGGATCTGACCGATAACATCAGGGACATTCTTACGGTTCTCAACCACAAAACCACGCCTCCCAGCAGCCGTAGGGCCTGAGCCACACACTGGCTCCACATGTCCCGGTAAGGGTCCCCCTGGGGCACTGCCAGGCCCTGGGAGGGAGCGTGACCAGGGATTTGATGGCACATTCTCCAAAATGACCTAAAGAAAGCAGGTGCATCCCAGGCTCAGAAGCATCCCAGACTCAGGGTCTCAGGGCCGGCTGGGGAGGGTCAGGAGGGAGCCGTTTCGTTCCTTCTGTGTCCAGCATGGAAAGGTTCGGGGGCTTCAGGGGAGGTTCATCTGCCTCTTCACAGGGGATGGGGGCATTCGTTGGTACAGAAGGAACAGAGGCTACGTTCAAAAAGAAACAGGAATCCAGCCTATTTTCACCAGGAGGGGAGAACCCACCAGCGTTTGTGAAGGGCACATTCTGGGGCCCGCCCTCCCCAGACCTCTGAGTCAGCCGGATCGTGGGGCTTTCTAAATCCTGGGCCTGAGATCACGTCCCAACCTGCGAGAACCCGCAAGCGATTTCCCCGTTTCCCGTGGGAGGCGCTGAGGAGCCAGGAAAGGGCGGTGGGGGCTCCAGGGCAAAGGCTGACGATGCAGCTTCTATGACCACACGCAGGAAACACGAACCCAGTACCAAGTGAGAACATTTCACTCGAGTCAAACGGGACAGGGTCTCCCCAGAGGCCGCCCAGCTGAGAGCCTCAGGAGTGCCAGGGCCGGGCGCCGTGCAGACCCGCCAGGCCTGTGACCTCCGAGTGAGGCCTGCACCCATGGACGGCGGAGGGCTTAGAACAGGACCTTAAGAACAGCTGCAGCCCGTGTGCCCGTCGCTCCTGGTGGATGAAACCTTTCGGCCGGAGGGATGTGGACCTCTGGCCTTCGCCTCTTCGCAGGAATTGCAAGGTGAGCCCTAACACCACCCACAGGCTGTCACTTCAACTACAGCTTCTAACATCTGTTGTGAAAATTACCAAGAAAATGGAAATTCTTTTCTACCTATGACCCTATATTTAGAAACAAATAACAAAAGAGCTGAGGAGTTTGGGTGAAAACTGCCAAATCGGGGACGCGGAGCCTGGTTTTCTCACCTGATTTCGAGCTTGTCCACGTCTTCTTCCTCGAAGTCAAAGTGAGACTTCTTGCTGTAGCTACAGGGCCGGGTCACCTGGAGTCAGCAAGAGAGAGAAAGCGCTGAGACCGCGGTGCCACCAGGCGGGGGTATCTCCACATGGACGCAGGCCCAGGGCTGCCCTTCCTCTGTGCTTACCCACACGCCACTCAAGGGCCACAACCGGGAAGGCCCTAGGTGAGATTCGGGATTCAGGCCCGGCTTCCTGAGTGCCAGCATTTCCCACTCACAGAGCCCCTGGAGGGGCAGACCCAGGCGAGACCTGCCCCAAGGCCGTTCACAGCCACGGCCGGACTCTCCCAGCGGTTCCTCATGGGTGCCGGGCTCCGGGGACCTAAACGTCCCTCACCTGCACCTGCTCTAGGCCTGCTACCCTGTGAGGGAGGGACCCCCTCTGCCGTGGAGACGAAGCGGCCCCACCTCAAGGCTCTATTGGCCAACAGGAAGTGAAAAGCGTGAGGCCTGTGGTGCCCGAAACTCGCCAGCCCCGAACAGACCCCAGCACTCTGGGGAGCGTCAGATGGCGGAAAGTCAAGATGCTGCTACCTTCCTCCTGACACCTCTGCACCGTGGGTTCCTCAGAACAGAAGGGAGTGAAGGCGTAAAGGGTCGAGGCTCCGGGACCGCCCCCCACTGCCGCCAGCCTGCAGGGTCCTTGCAGCAGAGCAGGAGGCCGCTCCACGGGCTCCAGGAGACCACAGTCGGTTACCACCTCGAGTTCCAATTTAACCACCATCAGCCATGCACCAGGTCACCCACGTTTACAAGGAGGGCTCCCTCCTGCCCGGCCTCCCTCCCTGCCCCACCTTCTCTGGGCCTCAGCAGTGATGCTAGCTCAGGAGCTCTCAGCTCGAAGTTCTGATGCAGGGTCTGACGCCAAAATCATGTTGCTAGAACTGCCTAACCTCTGAGCTTGCACTTCCTGATTGGTAAACTGAGGCAAAGATCATGCAGGGGCAGTTCTCTGCTTCGGATTGAGGGCTGCTGACGCCTCCTCCTTCCTGACCTACACACCACTGTCCTCAAATTTGCTTCCCCCCAACTTCCCCATCTCATAAAACTCAGGTCAGGCAACATCTCCTCCAGGAAGCCCCTGACACCCCTGTCTCACGCCCTCTCTGCAGAGCAGGTCAGGCAATACCTCCTCCAGGAAGCCCCCGGCGACCCTGCCTCACATCCTTTCTACAAGGCAGGTCAGGCAAT